GGGTCTTGCTGTGAAGTGCGGTCTGGCCTTAACTCACGATGTAGCCCAGGCAGGCCTCAAACTCTCAGTAATCTTCCTCAGCTTCCCAAGTGCTAGGATTACAGGCATGCACCACACGCCCAGCTCTATTCTTTGATTTTTAGTCTGTGAATATCTGGTTGTATTACTAGAGTTTTTTCATGCAGTAGACATTTGGATTCTGTTTTTTGGTATAGTCTGTCAATCTGTGTTTTTTAGTGGCAGAGCTGATGCTGTGAACATTGAGACTTATTCCTAAAAGTTACTAATTTATTCCTGTCATTGCATTCTTTTCAGTTGATGATTCCTTATTTCATTCCATCTGTACTTGGCTTTGTTGTCTCTGTCAGTCGTTCATTTCTGAGTATATTTAAGAATGCTGCTTTGGTGGTCATGTATCTTGTAAGTTGTTTTTCTTGGACAGTTCTTATTGCTCCATCTGTTTTGAAAGAAAGTTTTGCAGGGTATGGCAAGCTGGGGAGAAGTTGTATGCGTTAGGGCTTGAAATACTTTACTCTAGGCCCTCCTGACCTTTTAAAATTTGTTGAGAAGTCTGTTTTAATCCTAAATGGTTTACCTTTTTATATGATTATTTTTCTGTGATACCTTTTAATATTGTATCTTTTTTTGAAAATTGGATATTTTAGCTAAGATGTGTTGTGTGGAACTTCTTATATCATCATAGTTCTGTGGTGTTCTGTAAACCTCTCTAACCTGTATGTTGCAGTCTTTCCTCATTTTTGTAAAGTTTTTTATGATGATTTCTAATGAACAGGTTTTTTTAATTCCATGTATATTGTCTGTAAGTTTTTGCTCTAACTCCAGTTAGCTTTAGGTTGGTTTTCTCAGCATTGTCCAGTTGCTGATAGATGAATTTTTCTTGATCTTGTATCATTTTTAAGGCTTTTATTATGATTTACCATTTTGTCCTTGATTTCAGAAACTCTTTACATTGCTCATTTCTGCAGTTTATGAATTCTATATGATATTTTGTTTCCAATATTTCTAATACCTATTCATGGCATCTATGGCTTTGGTAGATTTATCAGTCATGTTTTGAACTGTGTTAGTCAGCTCTTCCAATTTGTTTGTTTCTCCCCTATCCACACTGATCGTTTTGTATGATGGTTCCATGAACTTTTGGGTCATGTCCTCTTCAAACTCGCTAAGTTTCTTTACCTCTTTTTAAATAAATTTGTAAAGCTCCCCTGGCTAGTGCTTGCTTTCCTCTCCATTGGTATTGAAGGCCTGCTTTGGGAGAGTTGAGATACATTGGGGACCTGTGTTACCTTGTTTTACCATGTTCCTCTTGTGTGTATGTGTGTGTGCATTTGTATGTGTATGTTGGGCAGGGGCAGAACAAAGGAGAAGGAGGTGTAATGTGGTATTGAGGAAAGCTGTGAAAGAGGCAAGAGAAGACAAGGAGATAGATAAAATTAGAGAGACAAAAAAAACAGAATAGGGAGGACAGAAAGTTAGTGCAAAAGAAAACAGAAATGTCAAAAACAAAATATGAGAAGGCAACTGGAAAGAATTTTAAAAGTGGGAGAAACAGGTAGAAGTTATAAAATAGTATTGATACAGAAAACAGAGCTGAAGGAAAGGAACAGGGAGAAGAGAGACAGAAAATGAACAACTAAATCAAAACAAAAAAAGGGAGGAGGAAAAATCAAAAGTAAAAAACAACAAAACAAAAAACAGAATCAAGTTTGGCAGACACTTAGATCAAACACTCCAGCAACAGAAAGCACATTCCCACATGACCATGACCTCAGAAAGCCTGAGGGGGACCACACAAGTCCCTTCTTGCCCTGGTCACTGCAGGTGGCTTCACTAGTTTCCTGGCTGTGTGTAGGCTGTGTTCAGCCTGTGGTGAGGGTGCCAGTTTATCCATTGCATCTCCTTCATGCAGGGTGTGATTTGGGCAGAGTTAGCTCTAGTTGCTTGTGGCTGATCCATGATCCAGCCACCCTCAATTAATTTGAGAGGAGGAGGACGTGAAGTAATTTATTTCACACCCAGCTTTCCTTCACATTCTGCCAACTGTCCTGTGACTCCTGCTTCCCTTTGGGCTAGGTAGTTTCAGTTTCGTGTTCTTGCTCAGATATTTTCCGACTAGTTTGTTGCCAGGAAGTGTCTGCCTTGACCTGTCCTGTCTTTGCTTTTGTGCTCAAATCCTTAACAGACCTTGTTTCAAAATTTCCTGTTTCTAGCCAGCCAAGTCATAGTGCTTGGGTTTTGTTTAGCGACTTTCTTCATGTCACATAATGCTAATCATGTTGAGGATTTCTTGCTAACCCAGATTCTCTGTTTGTAGAGTCTGTTCCAGCAGTCTGGTCTGCAGTGGTAGCTCATTCCCTTGGGCTCTCTGGGACCTCTCACAGTGGCTGCTCCTTGGAAGATGTGAGGACAGGAGCAGTGGGGATCAGAGTGGTGGGGCCACTTCCCCTTTTCAACAGATGCTTTTTTTCAATCTACCTGTATCATCTTTCCGATTAATTTTCAGTTTCAGAGTATGAGTACTTCTCCCCATTTCATAATAGTTGTGTATTCAGTGAATCTTTTCTAAGTATCTCTGATGTGACTCTGTTGTCAGCCATGTTGAATCTCTTAATTAATTTTTTATGAGGTTAATTGGCACATGTAGTACTAATTTTTATTGCTGTATGACATTCCATTTTGTATATCTAATTGGTCTGTATTTCAGTTGCTTTCATTTTTGCCTTTACACAATGCAACTGTGAACATTCTTGCTATAATTCCTTATTGCACATAAGGGTTTCTGAGGGGGATTAATAGGAGTGAAATTTCTGGGCCATTGACAATATGCACCTTCAGCTTTATTAAATTTTGATAAATGTACCCCTTGAAGCTTTACTCCATTCTGAACAAAAAATTTTGGTAACTTCTCTTTTGATATGTCAGTTTATATTAATATTTCAGATGTTGTGTATTGAAGATAACTTACCAGTTGAAATATAAGACACTTTTTATGTTATAATATGTGTGATCTTAGTGTACAGAGAGAGCCAAGAAGCTGATTCAAAATAGAGGTGGGTATACAGAATGTTTCTATTTATATAAACTCCTAAAAAAAGAAATTAGGTCAAATTCTGTAAGTTATTCAGCATTCTCTTTTATAGTTTGTGTTGAGTTTTAACCAAAGAGCATTTTCAATTATTTTTAGGATCTAGATGGTTCACTGTGGTGCTATTGTGTGAATGTTTGAGTGAGTGGGTAAAAGATGGGAACTATATAATTAGTCACAGAAGAACAATAAAATACAATTAAAAATCTGATTGGTTGAGCTGAAATGTTAGAGAAACACTTTAGGGGTAGGGGAAGGTTCCAGTGCTGATCTGCTTTAACTGTGGTTGTCAGAATATATGTGATATCCCTTTTCTGCCTATACCCTTGTCTGGTGGCACAGTGCTGCTATCATGGCTGTTTCTATTTCTTTATTACAAATTTAAAACCTGGGAAGACTGCATGTGCTCACTGGGTGGGTAGCCTGAGCAGCTGCCCCCCTTGGCAAGACTTCCAGGGGTCTTCCCCAGCCAGGTGGGCAAGACGTACTAGGATTCCTTCCTTGCTCACCACTGTACAAAGCTGGTTGCCTTAAGGTGGGTTCCAGTGGACTGGCCAGTGCTGTTTGCATGTTGTAGCTGGGCTTTGTACAGCACTTCCAGCTAGCACCCTGCTGCTGGTTTCCTGGAGCGATCTAATTATGGCTAGGTGTGTTTTGAGGTTCTGTAGGGATTACTGAGTTCCTTGCATGTGAATCCTTGTTAACTCAGTGGACATATGCAGTCATTGTTAAGTGTAACTTCAAGGACATGCAGAACATCCTTAAAATAGGTAGGATTGGATTAAGGACTTGGTTCCCAGCACATGACAGTGTTGGGAGGTATAAAACTTTTAAGAGGTAAGGCCTACTAGAAGAAAGTCAGTTCACTGAGGGTGTGTTCATGGAGGGGATATTGGGATTTCCGGTCTTTTTTTCACAGTCCCTGAGGTGAACACATTCTTATTATGATGTACTGTACTGCCACAGCCCCCCCCCCCCAAAAGGACCTAGTGACTGCATTGAACCCTCCAAAACTCTGAGCCAAAGTAAGCCTTTCCTGTATTTCAGTTGATTATCTTGGGCATTTTTTCACAGTAACAGACAGCTTACTAATACAGGCTATGTAAAAAAAAAAACCAAAAGATCACAAACTATAGCTTGACAGCAAGTGTGTACAGTTCTGGAGGCTGGAAGTCTGAGATCAAGGTGACGGCTGGGTGATTTCCTTCTGAGAATATTGAGTAGTGGCGAAGGAACATCTGGTGCAGCCGTCTCACCTGAGTTTATAAATGACTGTCTTCATGTGTTTTCGTATCATCTTCTCTCTGTGCATATCTGTCCACCTGTTTAAATTTTCCTTTTATAAGGCAAGGAAGGCTGCCAGTCATATTGGATTAGAGGCCACCCTGGTGGCCTCATTTGAACTTGATGATCTCTGTAAAAACCCAGTTCCAAAGAAGTTCACTTTCTGAAATACTGAGAGTTAGGACTTCAACATATGCATTTTGGGGGACACTTAATACCATAACAGATTGCAGCACAGGGTAGGATTATGAGGAGATTGTTGGAAGGCTACTTGTGAATATTGGATTTTCAGTCTCTCTGGAGGCTGGTGTCCTAGACGTTGGATACTTTCACACATTCTTTTTGACAGATGCAGAAGTACATTCGCAGTTTGTTACCATAGGCTCTGTCTAGTACAGTGAGCTGATGTACTTGCTAACTTCTAGGAAGGATGTTTTGGGAATCAGTTTAAAAAGATGGGTTTTGTCTCTACAATTATATATAAATAGATTTCTTCCCCCAAGAATTTACTCCTTGGTTTGTATTTGCTTTTCCCCCCCTTGTTTCCAAGTTTATTTCAATCACTGTTAATGAAAGAAAGACCTGAAAACTTTCTTTTTTTTGGTTCTAGACTTAAAAGAAATTATATTTGTCATCCAGAGTCAAAGCAATTCTTTTCATGCCAAGAGAGCAGAACAACTGAAAAAAAGAATTTTAAAGCAGGCTGCAAATCTTACACAGGTATGTAGACATGGATCAGCGTATCTGCTAGTTATGTTTTTGTAATATAATTATGTTTTGTTTTTTTTATTTTTTATTTTTATTTTTTTTTGCAGAGATGTTTATAGTAGCTTTATTAATAATACATAAAAATTAGAAATAGTACACGTTTTTCTACAGAAAAAATGTTTTTTTTTGTATTACATTTTTTTTTCTACAGTTTTATTGATAAACAGATAGCAATGAGACAGTTTCAAATCAAATCGGAGGTACAGTTTCAACAAATAATACACTGCATAT